CTCTGCTCCCCAGAGCCCTGCAAGAACCAGCCCCAGAGCAGGAAGCACTCGGTCTCCAAGAGCCTCAAGCACCTCTTCCACCCTGGGAGCAAGTTTCTCAAGACGCTGAAGCGGTGAGAGGCTGATGTGCGGGGGTGGTGGAAAGCCCGTCTCCCAGCAGGGACATGGGGCTGGCTGGCCCACAAGCTGGGGACTGGGGGGTGCTCAGAGGTGGGTCCTTGCCTGGAGTGAGCTGGTGGTGTCCATGGAGATGAGTCCCATTGCACAGAAATCAGTTTCTCCTTGGTGTTTCCATTTGGACTGGCCAAGCTGCGCCCGTACCCAGATCCCTGCACCATCCCTGAGCATCACCCAACACTCCTGTAGACCCACCACCCTCCCACCACCCACCTTCATGCCTGGCCTCCATGGCGTGTCTCCTGCACAGACCTGGCCCCATTGCTCTCCCTTGTGCTGGCTAGAGCACGGGCCACGGCATCAGCTGCGGCATTGGCCAGGCTCACCTTTATGCCACCGTTGGGTTCCTACTCCAGCTCCTGCTCCTGTGCTGGCCACGTGCCACTTCTGCCAGGGGCTGTTGGAGAGGAGCGGAGACCTGGAGAGAGACCCTTTGGGAAATGAAGGGGGCAGCTCGGGGTGACACTGAAGTCCGTCGTACCTCCCGTGCAGGGGCCTCTACCTGACAGCCATCTTCTACAAGGACGACAACATCCTGGTGACTCATGAAGACCAGATCCCTGTGGTGGAGATTGATGACACCTACTCCTGCCTGCTCATGCAGGATTTCCTCTGGTTCACCAAGGTGGGTGGCTCAGGGACCCTGCTGTGCACTGGGGCATGGTGGCAGTGTGTCTCCTGAACAAATCTGTCTGCCTGGCCACCGCCCCAGACGCTGCTGAGATGATGTCCACCACCCCGGACACTGTTCTCCAGGGGTGTCACAATCTGCAGAGTGCCTTCATTGCAGCAGCTTCCCACACAGGCAGCAGTGCCCATCGTGCGTGGGGCACTGCAGAGCTCTAGCTGGGGCTGGCTGGGTCTGATTCGGGGCTGGGAGCAGCACCGGGGGACACCCCATGTGCACAAAGTAGCATGAGCTGGTCCAGCTACTCGCACCAGACACATCTGGCAGCTCCTGGGCTTCCCGGCGTTGTCTCCAGGACCTCCGCTGTGCCACTGGCCTCGTGCACTCTGCAGGACAGAGTGATGCCGAGAGCCGGTCGCAGCCGGGGAGTGCCGGGGTGAG